GAGACTGAGAGTCTGAAGGGTGAAGGCTGGAAGCATGGTAAGGATTCCTTCTCTGTGAAAGGACAAAATTGGAGGCTGATGAAAGGTGCTATGGATCCAAATGATGTGGAAAAGACTGTGTTCATAAAACACTCCTTTGCAAACTCTCTTAAGAATCTGGAGAATCACAGTTTCTCAGGGTCATCAAATATGTTTTAGAATGATTGGCAAAGTGTGTTTCTCCTCTCTTACTACTTTGGTTTAATTATGGATAAATCCTACGATAGTGAACAAAATATCTCACATGAATTTTCAGTAGATATTTTTTGTAAAAGAAGAACAACTTGCAAAAAGCGAAACCTTAGAAGTAAGCAAATGCCATGACTAAAGCTGGCTATTCCTTCATGATAGAGAATAGAGTACATATGGAACAAAGCTCAGTGAAATTAAATATGGAAAATAGTCTAGAGGGAATATTATAGAAATGACAAAAAATCACGAGTGACATAGATAAGAGAGTGGAAAGGGATTTTCCATCTTTTTCAATACAAGCTCTAAGGTAAATAAAATGTAACTACAATGAACAAATTTAAAAACAAAGGTGATTTTACTGCCTGCTACAGGATATTGTGCAGGCTAAAAGACTATACGAACAAAGAGAAGAATGGACAGGTATGTGTAAGATAAATCTGCAGGTGATTACTGATGTGTATGTAGAAGTGAAACCTGAAATACAAATGGGATGGACATGGAGAAGGCTGGAAGAGCATGGGAGAGGTTTACCCTCTCCTTATTCCATCTGCATGTATATGCAGTTCTTATTCAATTGTAGGTGGGAAAAGTATAGCCAGGCAAGAAGAGGTTTTACAGGAGACAGAGAAGGACTGAAACCTGCCTCAATTAATGTACATCTCAAGCCAAGTTTCCCTTTCAGTAGTAAAGGTACGATGCAGAAGAATGTGTAAATCACACTTTGAATGCAACCATACCCACTACCATCCAGGGGCATAAGACAGCATATCTTGCTGTAGGATGTACAGTTAGCTAAAGACATGTTTGCTCTCCTGGGCTCCTCATAATTTTCTGGTGGTAAGGGACATAGTCTCTGAGCAGCTCATGGGAGTGAGGAATGGAACAAACAACACAGGCATGTAGATGTGTTTCTGTTGTACAGCCTCCTTGTGTTCTCCCTGAGGGGCAGCCCAGGAGTCACATGGTGCAAGAGACCTGCAAGGTAATGTTACAGCAGTAATGAAAGATGATCATTACTATTACCCTGCATTACTAATACCCTCCTCAGTGATGGGAGGTACAAGTTTGATAGCCTCAACAAACTGAATCCACGTCTAAACTAGTTGTATACCCATGCAGGTTGATAAAATAGGTGATATTGGCTTCTTTCTTGGCCACACTTAGAAAAGCAAGAGTATTACCAAGAGAGACTTCTTTGGGTTGTGGAGCTCAAGCTGACAGACATATGTCTGAAATTCAGAATGAGATCCTGAGAGGCAGTTGTTCAGACACAGTGCTGTCCTCAGCCTTTTCTTTATTTTTATCTGACTTTATACAAATACATATTGAACCCACTCATTTTAATCAGCTTCCTGCTCAGACTGCTGATTGCTGTGGATTTTATTTTTAATTTGTATTTAGTTCCCTGCATGACATGCACTTCATAGAAAACCTAAGTATGTCTTGGATTCCAGGAACTGAATTAAGATGTTTAAAACTTTATTTTGATCAAAGGCCTACTTTGGCCATAATATCTGTCTCATTTCTCAATATAAAGAGAAGTAAAACCAACAGATCATCTCACAGGATATTGTGGAAGATAATACCATCTACATAGGATAAATTATAAACCTCAAGGCAGTTTGATGTGTATCTAATGCTATCTGGCTTTGCTCAGTCTAATTGATAATTAGAATGAGTGGGTGACAGAATTGTGAAACACCATCATGGGATTAGCAGCATGAGAAAATCCCTTAGCATTCTGAGTCAGTACTTAGAGGCACAGTTTATGGCTCCTTCTCAAGGCACAGTTTCAGGCATTTTTTACTATAAAATGAAATTCTGATGTTTTTCCAGAGTTTTGTGAGTTTGGACAGTTTAGAGGTAGCAACCACTGGCAGAAGAACCTATTGTTAGTTCACACAAAACTAAATTCACAGCGAACAGGTTCAGATCCTTGGGTATGGCAGATGCATACCTGTTTCCAAAATTACAGTCTTGTTTACTCATATTTCAATATTGTGGTAGAGAAGAAAATGAAATACCTTAACAGAAAAGGAGCCCTATTATGCTGAAAGCAAAATGCCTAGGAATTAAGTCACCTGGTAGATTGTCATTACAGTTAAGGAAGGTGTAATTAGGGCCTATGCTTTCAGAGGAGTAAAAATTGAAAACTGGAGAGAGGGCCAGAGCATTTTTCAGATTTTGTTCCCATAGTCTAGAATGTTCAATAGACCAATATTCAAATTCCCATGGCTCAATTCAGAATGATCTAGGATAAAAAGTGCCTATGAATTAAGAGAAGCAAGGAAGAAGGCAGCATTTCACATCTAATTACTGTGGCATATCAGTTTCTTGAACTGAAAAGTTAGGGTTTCATTCAGTTATAGACATTTCAACACCATATTATGGTATCATATTGATATAACTATACTAGGAAATGAAAAGAAGTGCTAATCCTTAGTGCAAGGGACTGTATATCTTCCATGTGACTAAAAAGTTAAAACAGTGCCCTTTACCTACACGTTTGACAATACAGACTTAAAAATGAAACTGTTAAAATAACCTCTTAAAAATAACAAATGACCAAAAGCAAAAATAAATTGTGCGTGTGCGTGTGCATGTCTGCTTGGTGTGGGATGATGGCAGATTAAGAAAACGAAGAAGTGTCACATGAAAAAAATAAATCAAAAAAAAAGAAAAAAAGAAAGAGGAGGCATGATATAAACATGCAGAATGCAAAATGCAGCAAAGAAAAATCAGGCAGTCTTATCTGCTCACTGGTAATACAGAAGAAGCAACACTCCAAGGAACCAAGGGGCAACCACTCTAAACCTGTAAAGAATGTCTTTTAATATATAATGAATTCAATGGGTATTGATGCTCAGTTTTATTACTGGACTAAGTCAGACTCAAGATAAGAATACAGAATAGCCATGTATATAAACACACATACAAGAGGGCCTCTAGAATCCTAAATTGAAAGAATATTATTAAGGTTGCAAAGTAATGCACTTAACTATATCAGCAAATGACAGATTAAAACTGCTTGTTTGAGTTCTATGGAATCTGTTACCACGTTCCCACTAGACTTCTAATGCGTTCAGCACACAGAATGTGCATTACTGCTTGCTGAGCTTGGTATTTTATCTCCCATTTTGATCAATGCGTGCCTTCAGTTCTTATCTTATCTTACATGATAGTCAAACCATCCTCCAGCGACAGAATTGTTCATTTCTGCAGATTTTTTTTAATAATATCCAAGTTTTTCAGAAGTATGAGTGAACTTATCTCCACAGTAGTTCTATAAGGAAATACACAATTCTACATATACAGAATCAGATGTCACAAGTTTATTCATTCATACAAATGCTTTTATTCCTTTCACAGTCTCTTCACTATAACACAGATTTTCAGTCTGTTCACTTGAGACTTCAATGTCATATCACAAGCTCACACTCTGCCTTTAAGTTCAGCCAGCTGAATTTCTCCACATTTTCTCAATCCTCCGCCATTTCCCAATTCCAGCTCACATTCTATTTAACAGACTGCTGATCTACATTTTCTACTTTTAACTGCAGTGCAATTAGCCAAGCACACCTAGCTGCCCTGAAACCTAGCCTCTCTGAAGTCTCCTTTGTGAAGCAGCATGTCTGGATCCTCCCAAGCCTGTCCCACCACTCCAGTTGCACAAGAGTGCTTCTTCATGTATACCTCATTGCATCTTCCTGGCCTTAGCTTTACCTGCTCTGTACTGATTTGGACTACCTTCTCCATCCTACATTGTTGTGAATTGCTTTCTCTTCCATGTGGACATGCTGTAGGCAGCACAAAACAGGCTCCTTACTCAATTTTCCATCTAGCCAGTCTAGAATTGCCTGGAATATAACTGATAAGTGCCTGTCAAAAGAGGCCATGATGGGCGAAGTGCCTCTCCTGGTAGTCCTGAGCCAGGGTGGTGCGTTCACTCACTCAGTGGGGACAGAAATGTAAACACTGATGGGGACTGGCAGAACGTCTGTCATCACCTCCTTCTGGAGCAGGGAAAAAAGTGCTTTGTTAGAAATACAAAAGCTATGGAGCATGGAAAATGAGAGATCTCACTGCAGAGAACTTTCAATAAAAAACATCACAAGGTAAACAGCAGCTAAGGACAACAGCGGCCCACCCGAGTCACAGTCTGGCAAAGGGAACAGAATCTTTACACAAGGCACCGAGCACACACTTCTTTTTAAAACGATATCTTTGCAAGCTTCAGGGGAGGGTTTTTGTACAAAACAAGGAGTAAGTACTTCTCCATGTACTCAGATTTCATACTAAACTTCCTCTTAGAGAACACACAGCAGCTTTCTACAGGACCTATCGCATTTTTGCATTTTCAGGGCTGCTGCTACAGGGTTACCATGCGGCCCGAGCTGCAACGTGAGGGCAGAGATGCATAAGGGCTGTCCGTGTGCTCGGAACTGGTGGAAGCGACACATCTCCTGTTCTTAGTGCTGCACCAGCAGAAACCGAGAGGGTGAAAAAACCAAGCTGGCTTCAATTACACCATGCCGCGTTTAAACGTGCGCTCCTTGCAGGTGACGGAGCGCCTCACTGCACCACCGGACACGCCTCCAGCACAGCTTCCGCGGCGCGGGGCTGCCGCAACCACCTCAGAGATCCACGGTCGGGGCTGCCAGACGCCCTCAGCACCCGCTCAGAACCGCCCCGCGCCCGCCCGGCCCGGAAGTTCCCCGCAGGCGGCGAGGGGCCGCCTTCCTGCCGGCGCGGCTCCTCCCCCGGCCGGGCAATATGGTGGCGGAGGCGGCGTTCGGGGAGCCGTGAGCCGGTGCCCGCTCCGCGCCTCCCTGCTTGGGGCGGCCGCTACTGCTGCTTTCCCCCTCCGCCCACCGGCTCTGCTCTGCCCTGCTCTGCCCTGCTCTGCCCTACCCAGCGCGTTGGCGATGGGGCCGGCGGGCCCGGCGGGCCGTGTCTGAGCGCGCTGCCCATGTGGGTGTCCCGGTGAGGCCGGGAGCGAGCGGGAAGATGCTGCTGTCGTTGGTGCTGCACACATACTCCATGCGTTACTTCCTGCCCGCCGCCGTCATGATGGGCACGGCGCCCACCTACGTGCTGGCCTGGGGCGCCTGGCGCCTGCTCTCCGCCGTCCTCCCCGCCCGCTTCTACCGCGAGGTGGACGACCGTCTGTACACCATCTACCAGAGCATGGTGCTCTTCTTCTTCGAGAACTACGCGGGCGTGCAGGTGAGCCGGTGGCGCGGCGCGGGGCTTCCCCACGGCGGCCGGTGGGGAGCGGCGGGAGATAGCGCTGAGCCCGCCCCGTTCCCCGGGTGTCCCGGGCTGCCCCCGCCCCCGGAGCTGCGCCCGGCGTGGGGAGGCAGCGGGCTGCTGCTGTGTGCAGGTGCGGGCTTCGGCCCTTCCCTGCCCACGTTAACGCTCGGAGGGCAGAGGCTCTGGGTGTGCCAAGAAGAGTCGTGCCCGTGTCCCGCCTCTTCCCTAGCGATGCTTTTCGCCGAGTCTCGGTGATGTGTTCGTTTTACAGGTTGGAAGCTGAAGGAACGTGACACCAGTCATGCGCTGTCAGTGTTCGGCTGGCAGCCTTGTTGCACGCTTGAACCATGCGGCCTGCTTTGCGCATCCACGGTGCTACGTTGGTAGTGGATAAAAATGTAACTGACTGCAATTGCACTTCGTCCATCTACATTACATTACTACACCTTCCCACTTCTGTCATAGTTTACCTGCTGTCGGGTTTAGGCCTTTGTTTTTGGCTCAGCCATGGGCTGTGGTTATTCAGTACCTCAGAAAGCAGAACAAGAAGGTTGAGGTCTAGAAGGCAGAGCTGGCAGTCTGTCCTGCCTTACCAGAGAGTTTGGGTGCAAGTAATAATGCTGCGCTTCACCATTTTCTCATCGCATGTTAAATGGTTGTAAGAACTTTATATTTGTTTGAAATTTGTAAAGCAAATAAAGAGATTTCTAATTCAGCATTCAAAGAACGGTTTTAAGCAAATGATGGGTGTTTCCTGAGCCTCAGTCTGGCTGAGTATATTGAAATCTATATTAGTGTCAGCTTCTTGGAAGTCAAGAATAACAAGCATTTCCATGTTGATTGGCAAGTTACAGAGCTAGTGTAAATAGGTCCCTGATATTTGCAGCTTAATTATTCATCTCCTGTTTTATTATATGTTTATTTCAAAATCAGGCTCAGCCTCTGCTAATTTCTGCTCCTGAGCTGCAGCTGTAGGCCTGTTTAATAACAGCTCTCATGGAAACCCACAAAGGCAGCTGGAGAGAGCGCAAAATGGCACACTGACATCAGATTGAATGGAAAGAGTACAAAAGGAAATGAAGTCTTCTCTTAGCCTTCATTAGTTACTGATTGACTCAGCTTGTAGCTCGTGACACCTCACTCTTTCATCTTGTCCAAATCAGTTAACTTGTGATAAAAAAAAAAAAAAAATCCACACACACAACAGTAATTCACAGGTGAAGTACTTGGTGTTTTATCTCCCTTATTTTCTATCTTTATTGCAGGCATTTTGATGTATAGTAATGCACATCAGTAATTAGCTGCTGAAAGTCGCAGTACAGTAGTCTAATTCAACCTCTTGAAAGATGAGGGAGCAGAAAATGAAGATATAAACTGTAACAGGAAAATTATTCAGGTTTTCTACAAAGAATGTGCACACAGTAGCAGCCACTTAGAACTTCTGATAAAAGATGCCTGTCATGTTAAAGTATAGAAAGGACATTGACAGCCAAAATAGACAAAAAGGCCTCCGTTGTCTGCCTGTCTTTGGTTACATGAATAAAACTTGGTTCATGAAAAAGAAAGGGGGGGTCTAGTACAGGTGATCAGTTAGAGCAGTGTGAAAGTAGAGGTGCTTTGTCAGTGAATGGCGGATGATCTTGGGAAAGATAAAATGGTACAGGCAGTGCTGAAAACAGAGCAGGGCCCACAAAACCAGTTCAGCATATGTCATCTGTTAAGATAGTAACCGAGACTCAGAGCTAAATAAAAACATGAAAAGCACGATATGTTTACGGAGAGGTAGGAGGGAGAATCCTTAAGAGTTGTTTCATTTAATTGGGAGTATCGCCCATTTGCTTAAGGAAGAGAAAGAGAGTGTCCTTCCAGACTTGCTCATGCAAAAGCTGAACTTGTTTAACTTGAAACTCACAGTGGAAAGTTAAGTGTGTGCCTGAGTATTTGAGGTTGGGATAGTAACCCAAGAGCTGTTTTAAAGCATTTAATTGGATGCAGAAGTGTAGCATCATTAAATGCAATCTCCCCTTCAGAACATAAGAATATTATGTCATGTACCTTCGTAAAAACCGCTGTGATGTGTTACCAGGATTAAGACATCATAGTCTTAATAGAAAGCTTAGCATTCTTTGGCTTGTTATGTTTAGTCCATTTGTAATTTTTCAGTGCTGTATAAGGCTGTTATGAATATTTAAGATTTCTTGTCTTCAAATAATTGCTAAATAAGTTGCAAACAAGTGCTAATAGGCCAAAAGTTGGTTTGAATCTTGAACATGGATTACTTTTATACTGAATGAAATAGCTGCATATCTTGATTTATTTTTTTTAATCTTATTTATTAGGGAACAAAGTTTCTGTGCACCAACAGCTTTTAGCCCATAAAGTCTTTCCCTCACAACCGTATGCACGAGGACTTTGTTCTTCTTTTGTTCTCCTTGACTTGGGTGTTTTTAGCTAAGTTTATTAAACCAGAAATTCCAGTTGGTGTTAGGAAGACTTCTTATCTTCATAGCAAACACTTCAGCTTGAAATGTAGCTAGATAAGATGATGCTTTGAACTGCAGGACAGGAAGCCTTGAAAGAGTAACGATTTCCCTTTCTCTTAAGTATTTGACCTGAGATCTAAAATAAATACAGAGCTGTAATTGTGGACTAGTACTGAGTATTTACATTGTAAAGAATGGCACATGAAATAAGTTGTGAGGTCTGTGCTTTTGTTTGTATTTTTTTAATTTTCTTATACTGTAAATACTTTCCTATCTTAAATTTTTAGTCAGCTCTGCTAATTTGTTTCCACCAAAAGGATTTGTTTTTCAAAACCTAAGTAGAACTTGAGCTAAGAGGGGGTTGGTATAGGTTTTCCAGTAATATTAGAATTCTGTAAGTGCATTAATGAAAACAATCATATTGCAAGGACATCATGCAAGATTTGGCTTTAGAGAGTTGAAGAACCAGTATTAAAAGTACAAAAAAAAAAAAAAGAGTAAGCCAGGACCTGCCAGTCCTATAAATTAGGTAAACTGGACAAAAAAATGTTATGACTATAAAGTGAGAAATCCTACTCTGTTCTGTAGATTTGTTGGTGCAATTGCAGCTTGGCAAATATCCATGAATTTTATTAAGGAGCTATAAATATATAAAATTCATCTACGTGTGGCACTGTGACAGTACTCTTCAAACAGTCTCCAGGATTATAAAGTCATGGCAAAGCAAAACTGTAAAGATGGTCCATTGAAAAGTGGAGCAGGGAGCAGCTATGTTGAATCTCACCTGTCCTGCTGGAAGCTGCAGAAGGTGCTACTATACACTTTTCTGGGAAGGATATATATGAAATGCCTGAATTCAGTGTGAAGTGAGTAGAAGCTAGAGTTAGAGTGAAGAGTGTTGATTTGATCAGCAATGTGGCAAAGCAGTCATTGATGCAAACAGGTGCAGTTCCTGTGCTTTGTAGAACTTGCATTTGCTTGTGGTAGCTGTAGGTTTGGCCCCAAGTTTCCAAGTCATCCTGTAGCATGTGAACAGTGTGATTGACTGCTTTTGTCTTTGCTGCTTTAGGGGAGTTCAGATTCCTGCATTCAGACAGCACAGACAATAAACAATCACATCTTAGCATGGAATTTGGAAACTGAAATAACTGAGAATGTGCCTTTGGTTAGGATGTTTGAAGGGCTGAAAGGACGAATAATTCAGCATGATGAATGGTGTCATCTCCCTACCACTCTTAGCATCTTATCCCAGTTGTTGTCAGGGTGATGAAATTAATGCCTATTGTGTTTGTGCGCATGTTTCAGGTCAGCTGAGGACTAAATGTTCTTCAGTTTTTTTTGTTGTAATTGTGTTTGTTATTTTGTATGGAGTGATGGTGAAGAAATAATAAAGAAATCATCACTTGGTCCTGCTTCCTAAAGGATCATTTCCCATCTGAAAGATTTGACAATTGAACAAAATCCATGACTGAATTAACGTGCGTGGATTTTGTTCAGTGCTTGTGTCAGCTCTCTTGCCCTACCCCCACTTCCTTCTGAACAGGAATTTTTGAAAGTGGTGCTTTCGTTAAAGGCGTCATGAAATTCTGTTTTTCCTTGTCAGCACAGGACTCTGCAAGGGCTGTTGGAATCAAATGCAACCTCAGTGTTGTTTTGCAGAGCTGTGATGTTTCTAACAATGATTTAAAAAAAAAAACAAACATTTGAGATCCCAGGTAAGCAACGAAACACACTTCCTAGGTTCATATTGAAGCTTGTACTGCCATGTTTCAGCAAGATTGGAAACTACTTAGGATTTGAGCCATACTAAAACTTCGCAGAGACACTGTACTACTGAACTGTTGACTGTGCTATCCTGCAAAGTAGAGCCTGGGCTCTGTGCTTGGCTTCCTGAGAGGTCTGTGAGGAGAGCTCAGTGCAAAAGGTGAGGATAGAGATGCTCACTATTACAGCCTTCTGTTTAGAAGTGAGAGTTAGGAGGCCTGTGTTGGTCTTTATTCCCAGGGCAGCATCTTTGCTGGTGAGACAGCTTTGTTGAAGAGGGAAAAAGTTCCTTTTCTAATTGCTTTCTGTCCAGAGATGTGACAGGGGCTGAGTGCCCTCAGGATGAACACCTGGGCAAATGCTTCAACCAGAAAGTTAGAAGGAAATGCTGCTTCTCATCCTTCCATGATTGTGTTTGCAAAGAAGGTGCCTGTAGCTGCGCTTCATCGTTCTTTAGCCTTATTCTGTAGATGTGTGTGTGAGGTCTGAGCTCTCCCCCCTGGAGCTGGCCTCACAGCTTGGAGGATGGGGGAGTGAATAGTGAGAGGTGCTGGAGCTGGGAGGCACATTGCTGCAGGTAAGGCAAGCCCCAAGGGCAGGAGGAGCAGCTTGGGGGGGCTTACATCTTCTCTTTTAGTCCTGCTCTGTGCTTGGCTTATGGACAGCAGCAGCTCTTGTAGGTGATACAGGCACGATGTGAAGCTGTTAGCTCTTGGGGGAGGCATG